TATGGTTTGGTATTGTATGAGATGGTATTGTATGGTTTGGTATTGTATGGGGTGGTATTGTATGGGGTGGTTAATTTATATGGGGTGGTTAATTTATATGGGGTGGTTAATTTATATGGGGTGGTTAATTTATATGGGGTGGTTAATTTATATGGGGTGGTAATTTATATGGCGTGGTATTAGATGGCGTGGTATTAGATGGCGTATATATTACTTGTGGTATATATTAGATGGTGTGGTATTATGGCTCGGTATTAGGTACGATATTATGGTACGATATTATGGTATGGTATTATGGCATGGTATTATGGCGTGGTATGGTATTATGGCATGGTAGATCATATGGTATATATCGTATGTTATTGTATATTAAAAATAGTAATGTATTTTATAGTAAAAATATGTCGTAATTAAATACATAATTTAAAATGAAATTTACTTGGCTATTTGATAGCTAGTGTGTGTTCCTCCTTTTATTCCTCTTTTGTAATGGACTAATATTTTCCGAGATGATGGTTGTTAGTGTATATACTAGTCCAACACACACTATCGCTATCAAATAGGCAACTAATGCGCGAATCAAATCGAAACCTTGACATCCCCCCCCCCCGGGCATACCTGGGGAATTTGCTTGTTTAGTATTTTAAGAAGGCGGGAATTTGACCTTTTTTTCTAGTGGAAGGTGGGGAATTTGAAGGGGGTCAGGATTTTGAATTTTTCTTTTAAACACGTGTGCAGAATCCAAAATGGCGTCAATAATTAATGGATGAGTTCAAGGTCTTCAAGTGCAAAGGAATTAACTTTGTCCTTGGTTGGCTACAAGAAAACGGCTTTGAACGATTGAAGAGAGTTTTTGAAGGAAACAAAAACTTTGAAATTCCAAAATTGCGAAATGCTGTAGCTTCCAATTCGTACATGGGGTGGGGTATTTGAACTCCAATTTTTCCCAATGCGTGGTGTATTTGAACGGGAATTACAAATATATGTAGGGAATTTGACCTGACCAAAACGTCAAAATCCAAATTCCCGGGGGTATGCCCGGGGGGGGGGGGATGTCAAGGTTTCGATTTGATTCGCGCATAAATTTCATTTTATATATATTTTATGACATATTTTTACTGTAAAAACATTACTATACTCTACCATACCATACCATGCATAGAGAACTATACTATACTATACTAAAAGTATGTTATTGGTATAGTATTGTTATGGTATAGTATGGCTGCCTGTGATGCAATAGGATAAGTGAGTGCAAACTTTTTGGTATGACGATAAAAAACCCCTGAAAAATGTATTGCAAATGTCCGATTTTATATTTCCGAGAGTCAAACTATTATTCCAGTTCCATATCGAGCTTGTTGTATCCTCAAAATTGCCACCATATTCAACCGCCATGACTTGAAGATGTTTGAAAAAGTACTAAACTATTCTCATGCTATTTACTGACCAAGCAAGACGAAGCTGGACTAATGTTCATCTTTGAGGCATATAATTTTGGTGAATATTAATTTAGCCTGCATTGCAGGCGGTCTTTTCCCAGCCTTGCCCGATTTTAGGGACCGCCCACCATGCAGGCTAGATTTCAGGCTGCAGCAAATAGCTTGAGAATTGGTTGTACTTTATCAGATCATATCCAGATGACAAAATCCATAACAGGGCGTCACCATGGCAACATGATGATTTCACTACAATTTGTTTATACGAACACAGTATCGCGTATCGGTGGAGTCGCTTCCAAAACATTTGTTGCCGAGTTGCCAGATAACGAAAGGAGGGGGTGAGGAGTTTCCGAAGTACAACACTTGTTTGCATAGGATTGTAGTAAAATCACCATACTGTCTTCTTTTCTTATTTTTATACAATGGATAATATCAGTGCCCAAATTAGATGGTTCAACTTAAAATGTGCAAGTTAGTACATTTTTTTCTTCTTTTGAAATATTAATTGCAAGGTTTAATTTCTATAGGTGAAATTTCCTACAAATTATCCTTTCAAAAATTTACAGAATTCAAAAAGTTCCAAATCAAAATTTCCTTTCTGTCAAACTGCAAAGGTTTGTGTGTTCCTTTCCAATTTGAGCTCTGATATCCATAAATCCGAACAAATTTTGCTACCAGTTGGATAGGCATAGAAGATGGTCAGGGGACAATGCAAGTGACACAAAATTGCCCTATTATGACCTATGAATACTAGATTGCCATTGAAAAAGATTTTTATTTGTAGGGTAGGGTAACACCCTTCCCTATATGGGTTGGGCCTTGGTGGGGGGGGGGGCACCCCTGTCCATATCTTTTATGCCTATGCAAATATCAATTGAATTCAAAGCATTTGTTGCAGCAACGAGTTTCTATAAAAGCTTTTAATTGTGTCGTTTTTGACAGCCGAAATGAAAAGCCAAAGCATTTTTCCTCGCTTCAAGGTCTGGGCGTAGGCAAAAAAATGTTTGCTTGAGTCCGGAAAAAAATCATGGAAAGTGAAAGAATTTGAAGAAAATTCTTTCGTTTGAAGAAAAAAACTTTGAAAGTAACTCGTTCTTGCAAAACACCGAAAAGTGCGCGCGTTTTTGTGGCAATTCTTGTTGTTTAATACGCCATTTAATTCCCACGTGTATATTCGTTTACGTCATTAATTTGCACGTGTCTACTCGCTTACGTCATTAATTCCCATAGGACCGGCAAGTACCGCCAACTGGCTTTCGGAAGCCATTCAGGTGCTTCAAAAAAGTTGCAAAAAATTTACCAAACTCGTAAACAAGTGACGTCAGACTGGCTTTTCTCCGCTTTTTCACTCGAAATTCACCAAAAAATTTTCAAAACTTTTTGTTTTAACTTTTTTTTTCAAGATAGCGAAGTAAACGAACAAATATTGCCACAAAAATGCCGAAAGTAGACCGCTAGACCACCGGCGCCGCGCAAACTGAGACTTCAAAGCTTCATGAATGTTTTGAAGTCAAAATTTGAACCGAAAACGTGCAATGAAAACACATAAAAAATGATTAAAAGCGTACCTTTTTGTAGCCTCGGTCGACTGGAACACTGGAACGGCTTCGAGTTGATGCTGATTGCTTTGTTCTAAATGAAAAAGACCTAAATTAACTCGAGATAAATGGCTTAATTGTAACACTAGTCCGCTAATTTCTTACTCAAACGGCGAAAAATTTCAACTGAATTGCTTTTAAATCATTTCCAAACCTTTTTCGTATCACAAAGGAAACTATAAAGTCTATAAAGGACTAAACTTTCAAGCCTGAAGTCAGCAAATGAGCGAGCGAAGCCATGTTGCGGCTTGCCCAACGCCTTCGAACGGGATTTCGATTGAGCCAAAAAAACTGAAAAAAAACATTGAATTTTTACCTCTGCTGGTTAAACGATGTAGTCCTTCTTAATTCTACAAAAAAAAAAGCAAAGAAAAAACGTTTTAGGACGAAAAACGAACATTTTGGCGCGAACTTTTCACAAGCAAGAAAGTCCAAGACTTTCTCAAAATTTTACCTTTGAACAACTTTTGAACCATCCTCCAAGCTTTCTGTACCTCTGTGAACCATTATCCAAGCTTTCTGTACCTAAGAAAGAGCAAAAGAAAAAATTCAACATTTTGGCGCGAGCTTTTCGCAAGCAAGAAAGTCAAGACTTTCCCAAAATTTTACCTTTGAACAACTTTTGAACCATTCCCCAAGCTTTCTGTAGCTCTGTGAACCATTCTCTAAGCTTTCTGTACCTCTGTACCTAAGAAAGAGCATAGAAAAAAATTCAAAAATAAGGCAAAAGATTAAAAAGAAAAGCTAAGAAACGTGAATGCATACCTTCCGTATTAAAGCAACAGTTCTTTACGATATATTTTGACATCTACTTGCATTTTTTCTTCATTTTTAGTTTATTTTTTGGAAGAGCGCGATAGAAATGACCCTTCGTTAACGGCGCTTTCCAAGTTCTGCCAAAAGAACCCCCAGCAGCGCTACGTCACTCAACTTTGGGCGGGAGATGCAATATCGACTTCTGATTAGCTACTATTAGTGATGACGTTGGAATCGTGGCCACATGTCATAAATGTCGGCTTCTGATTGGCTAGATCAGCACCTGCCTCGTCCCTCGTCGCTGCAGTTTCGAGCAGAGATCAGTGGGAGGACAATGGGGTTACATGTGGGCAATGGGGTTATATGAGCCCACACGAAGGGAGATCAGTGGGAGAACAATGGGGTTATATATGAGTGCAATGGGGTTATATGAGCCTACGCGAAGGGCTGGCTGGCCCTCATAGTATGGTTGAATAAAAAAGCAGTCGAATTGATTTCAAACTACATTTTTTTAAATTAGCCATTAATTAAGTATTAAACCATTTTAAACGAGTTTAGATGTTGAAACTTGAAAGACAGTAATATATTACTGTAACTGTAATTTTATGTCAATGGTAATTTAATTACCAGTTACATAATTATTATAATTCATTGTATATTTTATAATAGTTTAATAGTACGAAATTGTACTTACAACAATTATGGGCTCAGATTTGTGGACGTTTCAGAACCCTGTTTTTAGTTTTTATACTCTTTGTGCAGCAGTTTTGTTATTTAAAACTATTTTTATGTCCATGTGGACTGGATATAAGAGAATTACATTAAAGGTAATTTTGTTATTTATTGTTTATGCATGCAAGTTATGCAAACCCTTTCGGCCTCTGGCCCGCCTTTTGTAGTTTCAGAGTACGTAAATATTGCCACAATATTTTCACAGTAGCCTCCTCCGCAGGCATCTCACCCGACGAATCGGGTGGTGGGAAAAAGTTCGCAGGCTAGAACCCATAGAGAGGCCTGCGGAGGAGGCTATTTTCACAGTTTATTTTTATGTAAACTATTTGTTCAAATGTTTTGTTCAAATACGTTATTTAAAACGAACTTTGAATTACATAAGCACAAAACATTTTACATAATTTGAATTAGGAATAATTAGCAACATTCCTCTGTGTTGATGATAACAGATTTAATATTTTTATACAAATTTATTGGGGTGTTGTGTGGGGTATGATACCCCACTCTTTAGAAAAAACTCCTCGGGTAAAACAGAGCCGATGTTAGGAAAAACTATGACTTGTTGGTAAATTTATTGGAAATGGTCTGTATAAAATTGAGTTGGTTGGTAAAGCGGGTGTATAGAAACACCCCCTGCTCTCGGAATGGTCTCGATACACCACTGATTTTGTTTGACTCAACTTGTACTTCATTTGTGATGTGAGAAATTCATTGGGTTTTTGAAAGGAATCTCATATACAGTTGGTAAATTTAGTGGCAAATAAACCTGATTTATTTTTAGAACTATGCATGGCCTGAGGACTATGTGCGTGCAGGATTGAAAGCAGAAGCCAAACCTCCACATCCTGCGGTGGAAAGAGTTCGAAGGTCTGTATAGTGCGGACTACGACTTGACACTTTCCCTGAGACAGGCCTCCCTTGCCTTGGCGGGGGTGGGTGTGGCAACTTCATAATCTTCATTATCAAATATTTTTTCAATTTGGAAATGCAATACCTGATCACCCTTACCCTGCCACTGGCACATAGCTCCTAGTGACCATTCCCACAAACTCTAGTTCTCTACTTCATTGATTTTGTTCTAACACCAAACGATTTTACTCGTCAAGGGGAGAGTCAGTGGGTTAATCTGCCCATGTGTCTCGTTAACCCATTAAGTTGCATTGTGTCCTAATGTGCCCTACTTCATTATCTTACTATGTCGAACGTCACACGATTTTACTTGTCAACGGGAAGAGTGCTTAGTGGGTTAACCAATTTATTATATTTTATAGATGTCATCAGAATGATCTGGAAAACAACATTCCATTTGTTATGATTGGTCTACTCTATACATTGACAAATCCTTCTGTACTAACAGCAAAACTTCTGCTTGGTGGATTCCCAGTGTTTCGTTTGGTTCACACTTCTGTATTCTTGAATCAAATTCCTCAGCCAAGTCGATTCCTTGCATTTTTATTTGCTTTCATCATTAATGTTGTCATGCTTATCTCTGTTATCATACATGTATTGCCTCAGCTAATCTAGGTATACAAGCTTAAGTTTGGCACATTGAGAATGGATATATTTTTTACTACGGTTCAATGTCAGTAGCATGTTGATTAATTAAATAAAATGTAGTTTTCGTGAAACAGTATGTAATAAAATGTACAATTAAGAATATGTTGTCTACATAATATACTAGAAATACTTATATGATAAATTAGGCAGTAAAATAATGCAGCCTGATCTATGGGCTAGAATCCAAACGGTAAGGTTTCAGAGTGGTTCCTCTACAGGACAGAATGGCTGCACCGAGCCTAGCCTACCACCTAATCAATGGCATATCAGTTAATCCAGGTTGCAATATGCAATAAAATAACAACAAAACACAATAATCAATATGGTTTTCAAATTATTTATTTTGTTTGCAAAAGCATTTTTACAATTTACTTGCTCTTTTTAGCCTTAATTTTCTTCACATAGAACTCAAGTTCTTTGCCTTCCAAAATATAACCATCACATCGACCACTTTGACCAGGTCTCGACGAAATACAAGCTGTAAAGAAACAAAATATATATTGTGTAAATACACCGAAATTAATGACAATGATTTTATTTGAGTTATTTGGGTTTTATTGGGTTAAATTTATTCATCTAATATAATTATAAAAATAAAGAAAGTTTATTTGCTTACCATAAAGCCTTCCAGTCACAAACTGGTCGTTCAGTTCTTTTGTAACTTGAGCTGTGGTTTTACGGCGTTCCATTTTCTGTTGTTGATGTTTTGACCGCTTTTTGTTCAATTCTTCTTCTTCGGCCTCAGTCTAGGAAAGAAACAACAAAATGAATGCATTTTTATAATTACTGTAACCAATGTTGCCACATGTAACCACAAACAAAAAATCTTACCAGTTTGGCACCCTTCTTTCGTCCAAGAGGAATTGCATAATGCGACTCATACCTAGCCAGTCAAAATAAGAAAAAGTAAGAAAATGGTGTTACATACAAATGTACTACCAAAAACCGCTCGAAAAAGGTGTGATGTTTTGGTATCAAAATATTCAGGAATGCGACACAATGTCGTCTTCCTGAATGTTTTGACATGAACACAAGAAAACTTTTTTTCAGGGGGAAAATTATCACAGTTTTGCTAATATCAAAACTGCATAAGTAGTCCTCACATACAAAAAATGATCTTTTTTATAGATATTATCTTGCTGTCGAAAAATTCAATTAGTACAATGAAAGATTTTTTACACAAATTTCATCACTTCTAAATAATCGAATTCCTATACAATTCTCCGGTGTCGTACCATTGTCTGAAGGGATTACTATCGACCTGTACAATACAATTCTTCACGAGTGTCTTTGTTCGCACAAGTTCGTTATTGCTTGCATTATATACAACATCCATGACACGTGTTTTCCTGGTGATACCTAAGAAAAGCACAAAACATTTTCATTCGAGGCACCTGCTTGAATTCGAGAGGGCAAACAGATTCACAAATTTCCTTATAAAAAATTTGAAGAAAAGTTCAATTTTGACAAGTGGAAACACTTGAACGGTCAGTGTAGCGAGCTTGGGTTTGATAGGGATGTACTATCGTACCTGAAAAATACAAGGAGAACTAGGCTGTTGCGGTATATCAATATACCGATAATTATCGTTTTTTTATAAATACCGATTACTCGATATTGAAATTTTCGATATATTGGAATATCGATATTTTTCGGTATTATCAATATCACGTTTACGTTTGTATATTTAAACGTCATATCAAGTTTTTTCAAGTGCTGATTGGAGTTATTTCAGAACAGTGAACTCAACTAAAAGACATGGAGTTCACTGTTTCAGCAGGACAAAGACGATCAATGTGCGGGAAAACCGTAATCAGGGTTTATAGAGCGAGAGCTAAAACGTGTTGGTTTACGTTTTCGTTGACGTTAAAAGGTGTAATATGTTATTTCGCTTCATGTCAAAAAGTGAACTTAAACAACGCCGGATTAAAAAATGTTTAAAAAAAATAACCCCATTGGACATTATTTATCTGCATGGTGAGATAGGCCAATCTTTGTTTCGAATTCGCAGTTGAATAACATGTTTTGAATCAAATTTCCCGGCCAAAAATATAACTCACGATTCATCCTGAGTGCGGATAATCAATGTAAATATATGCATTTTCAATTCTCAAAGTGGACATTTCTCTTGTTATATCGCGGCTATTTGGCGTCATTTGAAAACAGAAAATGTTGCATAAAATGAAGCAAATTTTGCATAAAATTTAAGCAAAATACAATCGCGAAAAATATCGATATATCGGTATTATCGGTATTTTTTTTTCGGTATCAGTTTTCGTTTTTTTTCAAATACCGCAACAGCCTAAGGAGAACTTCAACATTTTGACTAACATTCCCATGTTGTTCTCCTGGTATTTTCAAGTGGCTGCATCCCTATCAATCCAAAGCTTTCTTATCAAGTGAAAACATAAACTTCACACATATTTTTAAAGTAATTTCAGACGTATCCATCTTTAAAACAGAGTTTAAAGTTTCATGTTTGCAATCAGAGTAACTATGACAAAAAATAATCATGTTTGAAGTTATAAGACTATGACAGTCTCAAGAACGTCCTCATACATATTATAAGTGATCATCATTTTGCTAAATGAAACTTTTTCGTCACACCAAATGCAACCCCTTGACGAGTAAAATAATCCAGTGTTAGACAAAATAAAATAACAAAGTAGGATGCATCCTGGCAGCTAATTTTATTAATACTTTTTTCTTTGCATTTCACTCACTTTCAGATCCCCAGGAAAAGTTTCCATGGTCGAGACGCAGAGCTCGGAACTTTCTATTTCCACCTCTCGTTCTCACAGGGTGGATTCTCTTTTGGCCAAGCTAAAATGTAAACTCAATTTCATGTTGAAAATAATCTTATATGACTAGATGAGGTGTTTTTGTTGCAATTTCTGTGGTAACAAGGAAATATTTTGGGTTATAATTTCAGTAAATAACCAGTGATTGTCTACACTATACTATAGCTCGCAAAAATCGCCAGGTTCAATGATCTATTGTATTGGTAGCTGTTGTGTTGCCGTCCTAAAATTGTAAGGTCTCTATTGGGAACTCTGCTACTCTAGTTTCCTCTTGTTCGACCTCTAGAGGGGAAGAGTATTTCAGAACTGATATTTCATAGAAATAAAGTTAGGTCATACAAAGGCCATCATACCTTGGTGTTGGCTGGTGGTCGGCCCAGCTCATACTTTCGCTTCTTTCGGAGGGCCTTTTTCTTGCCTCCCGTTGCACGTCTCTTATGCCAGTTATCTCGGGAAATACCTAATACACCAATGCCATATACAATCACATGATACTGTTTCCGTGTTGAATTACATGCAATACACGCTTCCGGAAAGAACATCACTTCGACTATAGAGCCTTGTTTTTGAGATTGAGGGCCTGTTCGTATGGGCAGAAGATATCCCGGTTAGCGAGAAAACTTTACGAGCGAGATCTTGCCTTGTTACGAAGATAATATGAAAAGTTACATTGCGTTCATATGAGACGAAAACTTTTCCCGTGTACCGAGATCTCGCTTGTTGACAGACGAGATCTCGGTGACTGGGATGTTTTCCCCATATGAACACAACTTTCCCGCTTAGCGGGATAACTTTTTGTCATGTCAGCAACTTTTCAATTCAATTGATGTTCAGTGCCACGTCGCAGCCGAAAACTTTACCCGGTAAGCGGGATAAAGTTTCTCCATATGAACAGAACAAAAGTATTTGGCTAGTCGAAAAGTTTTCTCGTTAACCGGGATAACTTTTGCCCATATGAACAGGCCCTGAGACGTCAGGCTTTAATGAATATGTCACACACACGAAAATGAGATTTTATAGCCAAAGTGACATACTTTTCGGAAGGCTGTATTATATTGTGTTACTCTAGACAGGCTTCACTGAGGAAATTGGAAGTTAACCCCCCTACCCCATTCGGACGTCCTAGTACATTTACTATTACCAAAAGTACGCCCCCACCCCCTGTCGGGGAGTGTGTATTTTTTCTGGAATGACCCATTTCAAAACTAGTCAAAGAATCACTGAATCAGACTATATTTTGCAATTTAGTTGCTCCAATAAAAAACAAAATGCATTTTTTGGGCTTTTATGGGAGCAGCCTGCAATCCATTGAAAAATTACAAATAAAGATTATAAGATATATAACCTAAATTTTACAGGGAACTATTAATATTTTGTGTTCATGTTTCTTGGCTTTATTACGCTCTCGACTTTCAAACCCCCGGAAAATTCACCAAAATAGCACACGGCACTAATTATTCAGCATTCAAAAATTACTCTTGTTATGAAAGAAAGCGATTTTTATTTCAATTCCCTAGAGATTCAAACGGATTGTTTTTTAAAGTCGAAACTCTAAACACTCACCCATGTTGATCACTGGTTCGAAAAGAAAGAATTATGGCCGGGATTTCGCTTTAGGCCTGGGGACCAATAATGCGCGTGACCAGTGGCCTGAGCACGAGTTTATGAACCTGCAATTTTTATGTCCAGTGGAAACGTTTTGTGCTGTACTTTATTTTATACCAATGAAGTATAATTATATAATTTTCCATATAATTTAATTAAATATATAATTTTCCATATAATTTTCATATAATTATAATGGCCATATAATTTTCATAATGGCCATATAATTTTCCGCAGTACCGTCGTTTGCAAGTGATGGTGGACACCTCTGTAAACATTTTCTATTTCGACAACAGGAGCCCCACTTTCAGCATCATCCATACAATTATCTCCGTATGTAACTTTTGCCTAAAACTGTCGCATGCAAACATCACCTAGCGTTTTATCGTTTTTAATATAATAGACAAAAGTCGTGTAGTGTGAATCGCCCTTTATGTGTTTCGAAAGGCGAAAGCCTGGTTTGACAAGTTATTTTTGCATTGTTGCAATCAATTTGATATCCACGCATGGCTTGATATGTTGGAACCTTTATAATTCTTAATTCCTTAGATTGCGTATTTGCATATCACAGAAATTCTGGTAATTCCGAATACAACCTCGAAACCCAGATTGCCTCTGAAATTCCAAATAAATAAGGTGCCCTCCGGCCTGAACCAATGACCCCCCCCCCCATGGGTCCCCTCCCCCTCCTGAATAATACATAACCGCTGACTTTTCATCACACTACTCGCGGGCACAAAAACAATACGCTGCGTCGCTGTCTATCAAGTGAAAATGGAACAACTTTCGAAGAAGACGAAGGTTTTAAAGCCTTCTTTTCAAACTATTTAAAGAAGCAACAGTCTTGATATAACAACTACAAACTCCTGAGGTGTCCTACAAGATTTTGCAAAGACAAAATGAGTGGAAACATGGATACGAAAGAAAAACTCTTGCGCGAAACCGAAGCGTTGCTGCGAGCGGTTCTCATAAGCAGCCCTCGCGGAGTTCGCTTCGAAAAGCTGCTGCGCGATTATAGAGAATTGACATTTAAAAGGATACCGTTCAAGGAGCTTGGCTTTCCCAGACTGGAGCACTTTCTGCAAAGCATTCCTTCAGTGGCCAGGGTCGAAAAAGGCCCAGACGGCGAGTGGATTGTGAAGGGAGTCGCCTCGGATGCTGACAAACACGCGGCGAAACTGATATCAAAGCAGAAGAAAATCTTCAAACCCACCCTTCGGAAATCTGCAAAGTCGATCTTTCCCAAACGGAGGGTTATGCCCCGTCCTCCGAGGATGAGCACCCCTGTCAGAAAGCCGGCGCCTAGACCACCAATCTCGAGGATGACATCGAAGTATGTTCCCCCGCCACGCATGCAAAGGCTGCAAGAAATGCAGAATAGAAACATGATGGCAGTCCCCGGACAGGGAAATGTGAAATCGGGAAAAGGTAGGGGTGATGGGTGTATTTGGGGGGTGAGGGGTGTCTCTGGACGGTTCTGCATGGCGTCCGCTCTGGTTGCATCCCCTTTGCGAAGGCTAGGAGTAGGGGAGTGCCCCACATGCCAATAAATAGTCAGATTAACCCACTGAGTGGCAGCACGCTCCCCTTGATGAGTAAAATCATCTGGCTGTAGACAGAGTGAAATAACAAGGTGTCAAGGAAGGATGCATCAGGTGCATTATTTTGCCAATGGCCTTATGCAGGTTTTTCAAATTTCAAATACAATAATGAACGTTTTATATGTTTATATGATTGTTTATTTATTTATTTATTTATATAACTTCGCCATTTATATATACCATACAATACAAAAACAAAAACAATACAGTACAATACAAAAAAACAAAACGATACAATCTAACATAAGACAGTACAGTATAAATATATATAGTTCAGTATAGTACAATACATATGATAGATGTCAGATGGCTGGGACACCACAACAGTTAAAACCAATTACTGTGGGCCCTTTTAACATATTATAATAACTAGAAACAACAATTTATAACACTGTTCAAACTACGACAAGAGTTACAGTTTAAACACACAGATTTCCACGTTTTTGGATCCTCTGCATCATAACAACTATGCAGGACTTCCAAATAATAGTCCCACAGCAATCTTTTAAATGTACTTAACAACATATTTAGCTGTTTTAAGTTTGTTGGAAGACAGTTTGTGTCTCGGGTGAAATATGATTTTTGGAAGGTGGTAGTTCTGCATTTTTGTGGACGGAACAACAACTCAGTGGTACTGGGTGATCGGGTAACTCGGGTGGGAATAATACCAAAAATTTTGAATCAATAGGATTAATTCCTCTTGAGTTGCAGCATCTTGAAAAATAAAAGTGCTGACATCAGCATTATTTTGGAACACCTTCAGAAACTGTTATACACAAAATTTAGTTAAAAATTTGGTTAAAAGTTCAAGACGGGACTTTGTATCTGATAGGAACAAAAATTTAAACATTTTGGCTCAAACTCGCCTTTATTTTAGCATTTGATTTTTGGATAAGTGCTTGGTGGCATAAAATGGCCAATCTTATACCACTAAGCGGTTATCCAAAAGTCAAATGCTAAAATAAAGGTGTGTTTGGGCCAAAATGTTTAGATTCTTGTTTATATCCGGTAAGAAGTCTCGTCTTAACCTTAATCAAGAATTTTTAACTAAATTTTGTGTATAACACAGTTTCTGAAGGCATTCAAAATGTAATGCTGACGTCCACACTTTTACAAGTTCTAAAACATATAATAGTTTTGTTTTCAAGAAGCTGTAACTCAGGAGGAATTAATCCTATTGATTCAAAAATTTTTGGTGAACACTCGTAACAATGATATTTTACTTATAAAACATCCATGCAGTATTGTTACTGAAATTCCTGGAAATTGGATGGAAACCTGCATAAGGCCATTGAACAGTTAATCATGTATTGCTTGATTGGTAGTTATGCTATTTTATTCTTTAGAAAATGCTATTGGAAAGTCTCGTGTATCAGGAGGTTTGTTTAGAAAAGCAACAGACGACGTTAAAACTTCCAGAAGTAATGAAGCAAAACGTTGGTCGAGTTCATCATCATCGAAAGGTTAATAGTGTTCTTATTGTGATAAATTTTTAACCATACAAAGGGTGATAAATTATTTCAAAAAGTGCATGCAAGTTGGTGCCTGATGTTTCAATTTTTACTTCTAGAAACTCCCAAGTTATCAGTTAGTGTTTCAAATACAAGCAAAGAACGTAGCGTCAGTGCTGTTACTTCGCCCGAGCGGCCTGCAGCTTCGGTTGTTTTGGAGGATGTGGCATCTGTCAAGTGGATTAAGGCCGAAATTCTCAAATCTAAAAGTGGATTGTGGGCCATAAGATTGGAACATTTATACAAAAAGAAGTTCAAGAAAGTTTTACCAACGAGTTTCATCCAAGAACTGAAGTTTAGACCTGATATTGCGACAGTCGAGGAACCAATTGCTGGACGTTATTTACTTTATGCACCACGGAAACCGAAGGTATGGCAGAGGTGTTGTTGGGTACTGTCGTTATAGACAGCGAGCAGTCCCTCAGGAGAAAGGAGGGACTGCCCACAACAGGGATGGATTTACTGTTGGGGGTGCACCCCCCTTAGCCCTGGCCAGGGGGGGGTGCTATTTTTCATGATAAAGCAAAAAATTATTAGAAACCAAATGAGATACAGTAATTTGTGTAATAACATGATGATAAGCAAACTGTGAACAACAATTACAATTCAAATACAATAGTCAAGCAAGATTTCGCAGTAGTGAAGCAAGTTGATGGGCGGGCGGCACACATGACCGACATAACTCGGCACCAGAGCTGGCAGAGCACCCCCCTACCGAGCTACAAGAGCACCCCCCTAGCACCATCCCTGGCCCCGAGCGGCCTGCGAGCGGCTGTTACTTCACCCGAGCAGCCTGCAGCTTCGGGTGTTTTGGAGGATGTGGCATCTGTTAAGTGGATTAAGGCCGAAATTCTCAAATCTAAAAGTGGATTGTGGGCCATAAGATTGGAACATTTATACAAAAAGAAGTTCAAGAAAGTTTTACCAACAAGTTTCATGCAAGAACTGAAGTTTAGACCTGATATTGCGACAGTCGATGAACCAATTGCTGGACGTTATTTACTTTTTGCACCACGGAAACAGCAGGTATGGCAGAGGTGTTGGATTCCCGCACTTGATTACACATTTCCAGTTCACGTTTTATACATTATCGGTACTCTGATTCTCTATCTAAAATATACATGCCTCTATTCCTGGACTAGGGTACATTCTGATTTACATTGGACAAAGTTACTCTGGTTGGACACCAAATCACTTGGGACGGACAAACAATAAACCGCAGTTCCACCCATCTTGTTTGAGGCCGGCGAACGGCGAATTTTGCAAGTGCTAAGAAGACCGCCATTTGCCAGAGGCTCATGTGTGTAATTTGCTGGTACTTGCAGTCATGACAAGCTAAAATTTTTAGCCCAGTCTTCACTTGGACAATAAATCAAATAGACAAAGCTTGCAAGCCTTTGCTCACCACTCAACTCACAACGCCTTTGAAGCTTCGACCTTCCATTTTTTGCATACTTGTTTTGCTCATCAATTAATAGCCAGAGCCTCAGTAGAGCAAAACAGTATTAGCCATACCCAAATTATTATTAGCCAGAACTTCAAAGTTCAAATGGATACCTGAAGGGCTACAGTTTTATTTAGGTCGGACAGAACATCCACACATCCAGTGGTTTCCTCTCTACATCTGACCATTTCACAAATTTATGGGTTGGACAGTACAATGTCTTTGACCAAACAATTTTTTAAGGCCTGTGTAGAATAACACACAGCGTTGCAAGTATGTATTTAATAGTGATGCACCGATATGGAAATTCACAGATATTCCACTAACTGATATTCAAAGATTGTCATCTTTGACAGTTCTTTGAATTTAATTAAATTTATTTGTTTCTAAATACTGAAAATATCAAATGAATTACTGCAAATGCACGCAACAAAGACTCTACAATCTAGTACATTACTATGCCAGTGACAGTTTATTTGTAATAAAAGTTTGAACTGCAACTATAACCAATCATTAATATTTAATAACAGTTTGTAATATTGGTAATATCAACAACAAAATTACTGATATGGATATCGGTGCATCACTAGTATTTGAATATAATTTAATTACTGTATCTTACAGCCTCCTCCAGCCAAGAACAGCCAACAAGATCAGACTCAAGTGAATGTCAATCCAGACATTGCACTGCCATGCTTCTTTCCAGAGATTGGGTATGCTCGTTTGTACAGTAGGGTGAGGTGGTTATTAACCCATTGAGTGGCAACACTCCACTTGGCGAGTAATATCGTCTGGCGTTAACCCATTGAGTGGCAGCACTCACCACTTGACCAGTAAAATTGTCTGGCGTTAGACAGAGTAAAGTTATCTGGCGCTAGACAGAGTAAAATACCAGAGTAAAATACCAAAGGGTGCATTGCCACTTAAAGGGTTAAAATATTAATCAATGAACAGAAAAAAACAATGATTTTCTAAGAAGTGTCTTGAGTTTTTATAAGAACTACCTTGCCCTAAAATTGACTTTACTTGACTAAAGCAACACGTTTTATATCATCTTCAGCTTAAAATTCTGATTGCCATAAATTTGTCATTCAATTTTCAGACAACCTGTTATTGTCTACATATCTCATACGGAGAATCCAAGTTGTTTCTATGTGAGTCGTGCAGATGCAATATCGGAAATGTTGAGTGAGGAAATACTCAAACATTACAAGGTAAATGTCTGGTCATCTATTTTTTCCTCAAACCACCACATCTTCTCATCTCTTCATTCCATAATATCTCTGACCAGCTCTTCTTCATCTCTTCTTATTACATGTCCATACCATCTCAACCTTGCTTCCCTCACCTTCTCTGCAATGTCTATCACCCCACATCTCATGTAGGCGAGAGTTCGCCACACATACTGACATTTTGTGGGCTCCATACTTGGGATGCGTAGGCAAGGTGAGATCTGACAAGTGCCAGATATATAATGCGTTGAGTGGTCACATGTCTAATTTGAACAGTAGAACGTTTTAGCATTCCAAGCATGTGGTTTGCTTTGGTGATTTGTTCGTGAATATGGTAGGACCATGTGAGGTCTGAGGAAACTGTCACTCCAAGATATTTCTGTTGGGAAACATGCTGCAAAGGACGACCATTGATAACGTATTCGGCAACGATTGGATTGCGTTTCCTGGTAACACTTAGCACTGTACACTTTTGAGCGTTGAATTTCAGCCGCCCACTATGTGCCCATTTCTCCACGTTATTCGTTTCAGTGTTGAGAATGTGTGCGTCTCTAGGAGCTTGAATGATTGGAAAACATTTGGTGTCGTCCGCGAAGAGAGAAACATCAACAGATGGCGAGGATACAGATGATGGGAGATCGTTCACAATATTAAAAATAACAAGGGTACAAGGATTGATCCTTGTGGGATGCCAGTGGTAACTGTTAGTGAGTCTGATGTTGCACCATGAACAAGCACACGCTGTTGATGCCCTGTCAGATAACTGTGATCCCAAATTGATGGAGTTTGTGAAGGAGTTTGTGGTTAACGATATCAAAGGCTTTGGCGATGTCTAGGTATAAGAGGTCCGTTTGCACGTCCCATGTCTATGTTTTTACCAATACGATCGAACACGGAAAGCAGTTGACTTGTGCACGATTTCCCTCTTACGAAACCATGTTGACAATCAGAAATAAGTTTCCGAACGTGGACTACCAGTCGATTGTAAATACAACGCTCAAGCACCTTCCCAACAACACACATCAAGGATATTGGTTGGTAGTTCTCAACATAATTTTTGTCTCCTTTGTGAAGTGGAATGATATTGGAGAGCTTCCATTGTGTAGGTAGATCACCAGTGTGTAGTGATTTATTGAACAAATAAGTTAGTGATGGAGTGATGCTACAAGCACATTCTTTCTGTAGGCGAATAGGGATTTTATCGGGACCAGAAGCTTTGTTGGGATTCAGATTGCTGAGGACGGCTTGTGCCTTGCATGGTTCTAGGGTGATCTCTGAAATGGTTTCGTTAGACAAGGGTGATACTGGGTGACATATCTCTTCGGTTTCCTTCAGAAACATGGATTTAAAGTATCGATTGAAAAGGTCTGCTGCTTCGTCTGCATTGGTGGAGGGAATGCGAACTGAGGGAAAGGTATTATCAGTGGCGATAGAAACTTGTTGTGGGATTCTGCAGAACTTAGTGCTTGTTTTAAAGAATGCCCAGAAACGCTTTGGATTGGAATACAATGAAATTCCATTATGTGTCCATACCATCTTCAACCTTGCTTCTATCACCTTCTCTGCAATGTTTACCACCCCACATCTTCTGATCTCTTCATTCCATAATGTCTCTGACCAGCTCTCCTTCATCTCTTCTTATTACGTGTCCATACCATCTCAACCTTGCTTCTCTCACCTTCTCTGCAATGTCTACCCCCCCACATCTTCTGATCTCTTCATTCCATAATGTCTCTGACCAACTCTCTTTCATCTCTTCTTATTACGTGTCCATACCATCTCAACCTTGCTTCCCTCACCTTTCTGCAATGTCTACCACCCCACATCTTCTGATCTCTTCATTCCATAATGTCTCTGACCAGCTCTCTTTCATCTCTTCTTATTACGTGTCCATACCATGTCAACCTTGCTTCTCTCACCTTCTCTGCAATGTCTACCACCCCACGTCTTCTGATTTCTTCATTCCATAATGTTTCTGTAATATAACATTTTCATTGTCAGTCAACTCATCATAACTCAGACGCCATACCATCAGTGTCGCCTGGACAGATATTTTGTGCTAAATTTACGGAAGATGACAATTTCTACCGCGCCCGTGTCCTAGAAGTGGTCGACCACAAGAATATCAAAGTTCAGTACGTAGACTTTGGTAATAAAGAGGTTATACCAGTTGACAGGCTCCGTGTTCTGATCAGTGAATTCCAAACACAGCCAATACAGGCTTTCGAGTGTTGCCTTGATGGAGTAGATCCAACAAATGAGGTGGGTATATATCGTTGCAGAGGTCACTGTTATTGTAATTTGTAACAGTGAGAGTTATGGAAACGTATTTGGATGGGACATGGTATAATACTGATGGTACCGGTAACCAGTATCCAGAAGTCGGATACTGCATTCTCAAGGGGAGACTAAACTTTGAATCCTGGTATGCCAGTTGGATATTGAGAGAAAATATAAATTTCAGACCCTACATGTGTATATTTTGGTACTAGAGTTGGTGTGGCAGCTGCACAAAAATGTTTTTTAGGCCTATGCAAGGATTTTTTTATGATTAAATTGCAAAGTTTATTTAAAATAATAATATAACATTTTTTGTTGTTTTTCCTGTATATCAAGATATTGGACTTTGTCTGGCATGCCAATATGCCATAACGTCACACTGCACAATGTATTTTACAGAAGAGTGTTTTTTAGCTTGAAAAAATTGTCATTAACTTAAATTTGCAGACGAAATGATAGCTTTGGCCGATAGTTCTTAAAATATATAACTTTCAATGTCAGTGGAATTATCACATGTTTGGCAAGGAAACGTTTTCTTTCTAAAAACTCATTATGCAAGTGTGACGTCATTTCATAATATCTTGACATACAGGAAAGATAACAAAGTTTTAGAAAAAAAGTTGCATTATGATTTTAAATAAACTTTGCAATTCAATCATAAAAAATTCTTGCATAGGCACTTTAAGATAAATAATTATTTTTAGGCTCAGGAATGGAGCAAGGCTGCTGTTTTTAAATTTGATGACCTAACCAGTGAAAAAGAATTAAGAATGACAGTACACGATGTTGATGGTAAAATATAATAATTTTTGTATTTGTCGAATATCATGTTTTTTTAAAGTTGAAGTTAAGTGTTCTCATCCTGCTCTCGTCTTCGTTTGATATTCCTTCTTAGTTAGGTTTTCGTTTTGTTTGTTTATTAGATAAAGTGTTGAGCGTTTCTCTTGTTGATGTGTCGTCGCAGTTAGACATTGCAGAAGAAATGAAGAAAGCAGGCTTGGCGATTTCCTCGAAAAATTTGGAATCAACCCCCTCGTCCTCGTCCTCGTCGTTGTCATCTTCATCAGGGTATAGGCACCAGATATAAATATCTGTACGAAAAACAGCTGGCTTAGAGCGCTGCTAACATATAGCGATTAGTGCATGTTCTTAGGGACGTAGCGACTGGGGTGTATAGAGGGGGGAGGGGGGCTAACCCCTAAACACTTTATCTGATTCTTACTAGCATACTGATTCTTCTGTACATAGTCTGTCAAGATATGATGGTCTGGAAGCCCAGCAAACTTCAAAGCCACAAAATAGAAACCTTTGTTTGATGTTGAACTACACCTCACCATGCACAAATCCTTTGTCTCAACTTCATTAAATATAATTCATCGTGGTTGCACGTTTCATCTCAGCTATCCCTATTGGACGATTACTTCATTATACGAAAATACAATGCGCTCAATCACCGTGACCGTGCACAAATTAACATAAACTCCGACAAAAACATAACACAATGACTTCTGTTTAGTGTCCAGACCATCATATCTTCATAGACTATGTTTTGTAGGAGAGTTTGTATAGTTGAGAACAGATAGCTATTCAATTTTAGTTTAGGTTTCACCCTGTTCTAAGTGTAACACTGGACCAATAAGGGATGAATCTTACTGGATCTCTGGGCAGTTTAGAATGGTAGATCTATCCAGTAAAAGACAAGTTTTATTATCAGAAACTTTAATATGTTTAGAACTGCCCTGTGGAGATCGCCACCAAGGACAGAAAATGTTGCCGCTTCGCGATCGCGTCGTCTAAAGTCCAAGTCTCCCGGTATTTTGAATTTAATTTATCTAACTTTGCCTTAGTAACAATATTTTAAAAAACCATCAAATTACTTATGTTGTATATAAAAGCAAAACCCTTTCAATGTAATATTATTATAGTAGGAATATGAAAAAAAAACACAGTGACTGAAATTTAGACACCATCCAGTTTGAAAATACCTGGAAGATGCCTGTCAACAGCCGCGATCTGGAATTACCTGGTCTGGAAAGACCCTGGTTTCACCAAAATATAAATAATTTAATTGCAATTCGCCTAATGACATCATATCCGGAAACTTTGACAGTGAAAAAGTTGATCAAGATGGGATTTTTTATTATAAAGATATATATTACATTTCTTCTTCGAATTACCCAAACATTACGCATACAAAAAGTTATACTTGGGGTCAGTCAGACTTTAATACATTGGGCGCTTTATTATAATCTTTTGTAGGTATTGTTGAGCTTCCTGACGATGAGTTTCTTGATGTGCTTGTGTGTAATATCACTGGAACTTACAACGTCTATTTACGTTTGGTTGGAGAGGAGTACTCGGTGGGTTTTCATTACTTCTCGTATTCTACTTGATCTGCTAAAACAGGGAGTGGATTTTGCACCATTTCCTAATCCATGTACTGTAAAGTATAGTTTAAAACATTTCTAGATGTAACTGGAGTAGTGATTTAACGTGAATATTTTTGACAATTTTAGACAAAGCTTGAAGGAGTCCAGGATAGCATGACATGTTACTACAGTGATTCAAAAGGTAAATTTTAAACTTATTCGCAAGCTTTTGTTGTAATATCCTGTTGTCTTGTATCAGTTGTATGAATCGCAAAGAAAAGTTGACTTGGTTAACGATGTCATCATATCATGTATACAACATGAACTTGTGGTTAGAGCTCGACAACTGGCCTCTGTAGCTCAGTTGGTTAGAGCGCTGCACCGGAATCGCAGGACCGCAGGCTCGATTCCTACCAGAGGACCTATATCTGGTCCCCTGGTTATATCCGTTTCATCAACAAAACCCACATTGTTTTAGAGGCAGTTACGACAGAGCCTGTTGTTGACGATTTGTTTGCGCTCATTTCTGAGGATGTCTGGTGTCGAGTTAAAGTGACTGGTGTGAATGGCGAGAAAATAAAAGTATTCTTCGTCGATCATGGCGATGAAACGGAGACAAGCAAGGCTGAGCTGAGACCTTTGGCATCTCAGTTTAGACAACTGCCTTTCCAGGTGCGTTTAATTTAAAAAATTATTGTTTTGATGAAAGAAAATGTTTTTTTTTGAGTTTTTTTTTAATTTTTGAAAACTGACTCGGGAGGGACACAGGACCACCAAAGATGGGACCAAAGGGGAACCATTTGAGAAAAATTCTCAAACTTTTCGTAACATGTTTTTATGAGTTGAAAATAATTATTTTGATGAAATAAAGTGTTTTTTTACCATCCGTAACAATTTTGGGGAAATTTTTAATTTTGGAAAAATGACTTTGAGACCGAAGTGGGGATCTCGTGGCCAAAGGAGGACAACAGGACCATGCAAAGGTGTAACTTGCCCGCTTTCCCGGGGCAAGTGAATATCATGACGGGCAAGTAAACGTTTATCTTGCTTGCCCGATTGGCCTTGCCACAAAAGCAGGGCATCTTTACGTTTATGTTTTTATTGTCGGATAAATTTTTTATAGTGCATGTACTTGATTTCAATTTTTTTTGTGTGCCAAAGCTAGATCTGAGGCAGTATAACGTAGCCATATAGAGCAGTGGGGAACGGGTTGACATGTCCCCTTAATTTATGCCCCGTACATAGGTACTCCAGTGGCCATTGTCAGATTGTCCGATGGCAAGTGAATTTTATTCAGGGCAACTAATTTCATGTCCAACTTGCCCTGAGGGCAAGTGGTCAAAAAAATAAAGTTACACCACTGCCATGCAAGAAGCAGTTGTCACAAAACGTTATTAAATTTGATGTAACCATTTCAGGTATTCCAGTGTGCTTTGAATGGATTACCAAAGACGAAAAATCCAGACGTTGTTGACAAGTTAGAGAAGTTGATTATGGGTGAAGTGGCTGTCGCTGAGATTGTGAAAAAGTAAGTCTTACAATCTTATGGTACAGCTTAGGGTAAGGCTTCATAGGGTTATAGGGATGAAGTATTTTTACCACTTTGTCCAATCATTATTCTTTAGAACGGGTGATCTTGTTTTTATCGAGCTGTTGGACACGAGAACTGATGCTAATATTGTCGTGAATGCCGTAATTCGAAAGTTAGTTATGCCTGATGAAGAGTTGAAGCCTGTTCTGCCGAAGGTAAATCTAAACGGTCGACTGTTTCTATAATTTTTAGAAACCTTTATGTGGTTGTTTCTTCTTATCGATGCGTCTGTCTGTCTGTCTGTCTGTCTGTCTGTCTGTCTGTCTGTCTGTCTGTCTGTCTGTCTGTCTGTCTGTCTGTCTGTCTGTCTGTCTGTCTGTCGGTATGTCTGTCTGTCTGTCTGTCTGTCTGTCTGTCTGTCTGTCTGTCTGTCTGTCTGTCTGTCTGTCTGTCTGTCAGAAAGATAACTCAAAACGTATCGAAAATGTATATGCGAATGTTTCTTGAGCTCCACATGCAAAAATCTCACATCTTGTATATGGAAGCTTGGCAACAAGCTGTCAACAAGTTGTGTTCGCACTGCTTGTCCCAAGTTGTCAACAAGTTTGGAACAAGCTGTTAACAACTTGTGACAAGATTGATGGCATTATCAGATTTGTTGCAAAGTTGTTCTAACAAATCCGATACAGTCATGATATAACGATACTGTTAGAATCTTGCGTCGTCAACCTTGTAACATTTTTGCAAAACGTTGAATATCGTGTTTTCCACGAAACGGATGCATTACATTTATTGTAATGAAAACCTATAGGGAATTTGTTTTAAGAACTTTTGTCGAGGATTGGCATATTTTTCCTCTGTAGGTTGGCAGGACAACGGACGTGGATATCGCGTATATTTCACCGACGGGATCTGTGTTCCTTCACGTGTCTGCCGCTGGAAGTAAACGATTGGAGGAACTCAACAGAGGTCTTACTGAACACTACATGTCCAAGGTAAGAAGAATGGGGTCTGTCACACCAGAAATATTAAAGTGCACATACAGCTATTTTGGATTTTGTAATATCCAGTACACTCTAAGATGAATACAGCCAAAAGACCATGAAGATGACATTTTTCACAAAGAAAATATATTGCATTTCATCTGATGAAAAATGTCATCTTCATGATTTTTTTTGACTGTTAAAGTTTCCGGAACTGACGTCATTTAAGTAATTTTTGTTGCAAGAAACAATGGAAAATTCATTTGCATTGCCTTAAATGACGTCAGTTCCGGAAACTTTTACAGCCAAAAGACCATGAAGATGATGTTTTTCACAAAGAAAATATATTGCATTTCATCTTAAAATGTACTGAATATTACAAATATGTAAAATTAAAAAAGGCTGTATGTGCACTTCAAGCGTTGAAGTTTATTTAATTTGCTTACTTTGTAGCGGTCGAAAGCCAATGAGTTTATTTCGAAGCTAACAGCGGGAAAGGTTTGTTGTGCGAAATGCGAAGACGATGGGAACTGGTATCGAGCTAAGATCCTTTCATTCACTGATAGAAATGTGAGTTTTTGAATAAGACTTTGTAAATTGTACGAAATAATTTATTTATAGCGAGGACTGGAGAGGTCCATTGAGGGCCATAACCTTTAATTAATGGTCCAATGTAAAGTTTTATTCATTCGTGTGTACGGCAAAACATTGATTTTCCTTGGCAAGGAGCTAAGTTTCAAAGCTAGTCTTGCCAGCTTTTGGACAAGGAAAATTTGTTCATGTGTACGGCCGCCGCTAGGGAAACTTGACAAGTGTACAAGAAATACCTTTATGGTTTTGGCAAACAAAAGGCTGTCTTGACGTGAGATAGCAATCTGTACGGGGTTTTAACTATGGGTTTAACTTGGTCGAGCCAAACTTGTAAGAACTCTTCTCGCATCTAACTAAGGAGAAATTATGACCAGACCTGCAGACAGTTGTACAGTATTGCTGTTTCTTTTAGGGTGTTGAAGTACTGTACGTCGACTACGGAAACACAGAAATAGTTCCCGTGACCAATTTACGCGAACCAACGCAAGAAAACGCCCATGTACTGTCGCTGCCTTTTCAGGTTAGCAAGTAGTGAGCTAAAATAGGTGTAAATTTGTTTTCACGTGTGAATAATACTTCAGGATCTTTCTTTGAAAATATCAAACTAATTGTCATATTACTACAGTAATAGCCACATATTGCACTAATTTTAAAAAGAAACGAAATGCGTTTTCTTTTACTGTAGGCCTTGGAATGCCAGCTTTACGATGTACCAAAGGTGATTATCACTTAACAATGATGAGTGATAATTAAAGCTTTCTGAGATCTTTTTTAACACCAGGAGATAGATAGAGTTTCTCTTAGTGAATAAGAAAGAAAATTTTATACAGAGGATATACATAAATTTTATACATATTTTTTTATATTTAGGATGGTTGGAGTGACGATATTATCGACAGAATTTTTGAAATCGTGGAACAGGGTAGTCTTGCAGCCGAGGTACATTTATTTTGTTTTGCACATGGTCTAAGCAGTTGCAAGCCTATCTGTTTGAGTTGATTTAATGAGTAGTCGAGGTTTATTATTTTGTTATTTCAACTGAGTTTTCCAGTTAGCCGTAGTACGGCCGGATTTTAGTGGAAATAGTAGGGGAGGTGGGAAAAAAATAGCGGAGGTGCAGCGGTCTAGCTGACAACCCCCATGCATGGAAAGTTAGGGCTTAGAACGGGCCAAAGTCAACAACCTCCTGACGTATAAATTCTTTGTATGTTTGCATGGCGATAAAATATATAATAGTTTTGTTTGTGGAAACACCACGTAAATTTATTACTGCAGTAATAAATTTACGTGGTGTTTCCACAAACAAAACTATTATAACATGTACAAAGTGTACATATGTATCAGTGTATTAATGAATTATGACTGTATACAACTCATCCAATTTTGCCCTTCATTACAATTAAGGCGCAAAAATTCTCAGGGAAGATGCAAAACGATCTCATGGGAGGTGCGCACCTCCCCACACCTCCCCTCAAAATCCGGCCATGAGCCGTACTAATATGAACAAGCTGTAACAAACGTTTTTGTTTTCCCCATCAAGGTACTATCTGACGGAGATCCACCTTTAATCAGTTTGTTGGTTACAGTGGAATCAGAAGGAGAACAAGTCACTTATCGTTTGGCATCTTTTCTTAATAGACGGATTTTCTGGGGGGATGCAGGGGGGTGCTACCCTCCCAAATATTAGTTTT